TATGGGACTTTGAAAAGAAGGTGTAAAATATTATGGGCTGCAGATGAAATTATGGAATGGAGAACACTGCATTATGGGAAGTTGACACTATGCTCCCAGTCACCCTGCGAAACTTGTTTCAGCCCTACCAGGCACTACAAGAACTTCCCAAAAGACCCTGTGCTGGAAGGCAGTGAGTTGCATGCTGGAATACTTACCCACGGTGCACTGCTCTCTGAATTATTACAAGTGCTCCTGGTGAGGATGCACACCACTGACACAAGGAGTGTAGTGTGCACACGCACAAGCGATTTAATAGCTGTGGTGGCTGTGTGCCAATGTAACTTACGTTGACATACATTTAAAGTGTAGACATGGCCTTAGAAACATCGTCCTTTAGACAGCAAGGCTAGAAGGAGGATGAAAGGAAAGGGCTCCTCTGCACACCCATCTGCAGCACTGGGGACTCTGAGAGGTGTGACAGGGCAAGTCCATCTCAATGGAATGGTCTCTACCGAATGAGAACACCCCATGGAGATGATACAGCCTGGGGCAATAGCTTTAAGATGTGGGAACCGCTCCATTCATCTCAGTGGCTGTTCTCAGCCCCCTCCTGAGTGTTTCAGAGTCTCTGACAGGCAGGAAGTTTCCCTGTTCTCAGCTCCCCACCCAAAGGGGCAGGACCTCCCCAGATCCTGGCCACATGGGGAATAGGTAGAGGGCCTCAGCCCACCTTAGAGGGGCAAGAACCCTCCACTCCCAGTTTTGGACACAGACCCAGGAAGGGAGAATGCTGGGCTGATGGTTGCCCCTGCTGCTATTCTCACCCAGTCCTCCTGACACTCACCTCCATCTCCCCCTGCCCAATGTCCCACCTCTCCATTCCCCAAATCCCCATGCCTCCCTCACCAGACCTCCCAACCTCTCTCCCATCTTCTATCTCCATTTGTCGCCTTCCCCATAAACCCCACCCCTCGCTGTAGTCCAAACCTCTTTCCGCCAGTTCCCCCACTCCTCTGCCCTCTAATCACCTCTCCCCTTTAAGGAAAGAATCACATGTCTATTTTTTACACCCAAAGACTTTGATTACATCCCCCAAAATGAAACGGCCACCCAGAACTCACAAATTCATAGCCAGCAATCTCACTGAGGTCCGTGATTCCTCCAGTCATTAGTAACTCTCAGTTTAACAGTACGAGGCAGCAGAACAAAACCATTTTGGGTGGAGTGTAACTTGTCAACCCCATGGTCACATGACCCAAATCTGGAACATTAACAGGACCTTGTGCCCCAATGAGACACACTGAATTTCAGATCAAACCAAGTAACCATTTGAATGTTTGGAGCACTTAAAAGAGTTGAGCTTTAAAACATATCAAATGGGGCTCATAGAAACCATCTATCTGTGTTTCTGTATTGGTGTGTGCACACTGTAAAAGAGAACAATTTCTTAAATACTATTCTAAGTTTGGGTTCCCCAAAGATTTAGTAGGTGCCATGCACTATCCCGGGTTAAAAGTTGGCAGACAGAGACCATTTTGACCTTCATCACATCAACAGTTTGATCCCCAGGTCTGTGAAAAATAAATAAATAAATAAAATAACAAGGCCATTTTCTTAGGACTTATATATCCGGAACCTCTGGCTCAATTGACCCCAAGTTTGGGTTGCTAACTTACCCTGCACTGTCCAGAGGAACATCTTTTTTCAAAAGAATGTAATTAAACTGATGCCCCACTACAGCTTTTTGTTAATGGCTGGGTACACATCTCTCAGATTTCTGTCTATTAACCATGATCTTGGAATCTTCCATGAGGTTTAATATGGGCTAGTGGTGGTAAGAAATAAGAATCTCAGATACAAAGATAGAAAAAATTAGGCATTACAGGAAGGATATTTAGCTTATGTAAATTACCATAACTCCATAGCACTAAA